TTTGATTTGAATAAATCAAGTTCATACAAAATATATTCTATAAATATATATTTTGAAAATATATTATACATATGTGTGTGTGTGTGTATATGGTTCAAAATGTATACTGTATATGCTGTTTGGGCTCAGTAAGATAAAAAAAAGAGTAATTAATACTTGTATTTAATATTATATTATTTTATATTAATACTTTATTTAGCAAGGACACATTAAACTGACCAAAAGTTACAGTAGGGTCATTTATAATTTTACAGAAGATTTTTGTTTAAAATAAATGCTGTTCTTTTGAACTTTAAATTTATCAAAGAATCCTGGAAAAAATTTTTTTTTAATTATATATATATCATGGAAACCATTTATGCATCATGGTTCCCACAAAAAAATATTAAGCAGCATAACTGTTTTCAAAATTGTTAATAATTAATAAATGTTTCTTAGGTATTACATCAGCATATTAGAATGATTTCTGAAAGATAATGTGACCCTGTAGACTGAAGTAATGGCTGCTGAAAATTCAGCTTTCCATCATATTTTAAAATATATTAAAATTGTTATTTTAAATTATAATAATATTTCACAATATTACTGTATTTAATGTTTTTCATCAAATAAATGCAACTTTCGTGAATTTAAGTGAGTTCTTTAAAAAAAATCTTACTGACTCAAACTGCTGACTGGTAGTGTATATAGTGCATCCTATACTTTTGGACTCTATTACATATTCTATATATCATACTGTATTTGAAGGATTAGCTAATGGATAACAAGAAATGTTCTGAATATGTTGTGGGTAAATCAGCTGTTTCTGAATATTCTTGCTTTCATTTTGACAGACTCCTCTAATGTGGTGATTGACAAACGGACCTGTCACAAACAGATCAAGGTGACCTCAGAAGGACGGGGCTTGTGCCTTTCCTCAGAGGACCGCTGCATTCCCAATGACCCTCTAAGGTTTGATCAGTTATACTGCGCCTTGGGCTCTGTTGCTATTCAATCTGGGCAGCACTACTGGGAGGTAGATGTGCACTGCTGTCCATCATGGGCTGTGGGCATGGCTTATGGTAGCCTACAGAGGAGAGGGCGGGACAAAGGTGCCAAGCTCGGACGGAACAGGTGCTCGTGGAGTCTTGAGTTTCAGGATGGGCATCTCGCGGCCTGGCACAACGATCGACATGTGGCACTACCCGTCACAGCAGCTCGGGCAGCACCAAACAGAGTAGGGGTGTTTGTAAAATATCAGAAGGGTCGTTTGGTGTTTTATGATGCTGAGACTATGAGAACGCTGCAGGAGTTTTCAGCAGTGCAAACAGCTGTGTTTGACAGAGCACATCATCAATTCACTGAGCCTCTATACCCAGCCTTCCGCTTTTTTTCATCCAAAGACAAAGGCCATCATCATATGGAAATATGCAATCTCAGTCTTTAATTAGCAATATCGAAAACCGTTGTGCTGTGTACTTTTTTGTCTTCAATAAAAATAAAATTAACAATTTTGAAATCGGACATTGCGTTACCACGGAAATGGTACTTTAAAGGGGTCCTATTATGCTTTTTCACTTTTTAAATTTTAGTCAGTGTGTAGTGTGTATGTTTGGGCATAAAAAAGATCTAGAACGTTACAAATCTCAAAGTCCACTCCAAAGGGAGATATTTAGTTTTTTAAAGATCCATTTTCAAGAACTACAGCAAACGGCTCGTTTGGACTACAGCGTTTGGTTTCCGGGCTTTGTGATATCACAAAGCGGATCATTAGAATATCATTACAAAGAATTCCCGCCTACAGAAATTCTAATGGTTGGGGGGTGGGGAGGGGCGAGGTCGTGGTTAGAACGCTTGGTTGAGTGAGTGCATCAGACGAGACGACGAAGAAGAGCTGTTGTGCTGTAGCGTAAAATTTTTGGCATGTTTAGAACAGCGGTTCTCAATTCCAGTCCTCGCGTACCCCCGCTCTGCACATTTTGTATGTTTCTCTTATTAC